GTGTCCACGGTAGAGATCTATAGTAGAAATGTACATTTGTGTTTCTTTATATGCTAAAAAGTGACATTTATCCAGTTTTAGACCAAGTGGTTGCACAAAATATATACATTTCATCAGTGTAGGGGAAGTTACTTTGAAAAAGTAATCCATTGTAACGTTGCGTTACCAATCAAAAGAGTAATCGCGTTACTTATGGCTAGGGTCATCTGCGGACATTTTTTGCTATTTCTTCTGAGAATTTCTATAAAAATCTGCGGATTTCTGTGGAATTATTTTGGCAGTAATATAACTAAAACATTAATATGTGAAATTAAAAATAATACCTTTTCAACTTTTATTTAATTTTTAAGATGCAAATCCAATTAGATTCACTTTATTTAATAAACTAAGCAAAAATCTCATATAATATCTCTGCTAAAATACAGAAAATAATACCGTACAAAGTCCAACTGCATTGTACATAAATCAGATGAACATTTTCATAAGTCAATAATATTATTGTAATTATTTAAAAAACTGAATAAATATAGATTTACACACATTTTCTCAAGTAAATAAACTGAATTAATGATAGGCTAAAAATGTGCATAAAATCTGCAGAATTCTGCACACGCAGATTCCGTGTGGGCCTACTTAAGGCCCGTTTCCACTGAGTAGTACGGTACGGTACAGTTCGGTGCACTTTTATGGCCATTACCACTGTCAAAAAGCTAACCGTATCACATTTTGGGTACCCTTTCGAAAGGGTACCTAGCATAACAAACGGGTAACAAAAGGCAGAGCAAGATATACAGCTGAATGCTACTGGTTTACAGAGAGAAGTCACTAGCTAGTCCATAAGCCAGGAGGATAAAGACAAAGGAAGCGCCATTTTTAAATACACAGTCAAAACATTACATCGTAATACTATATAAAAATATAATAACGAGCAATGGTCGACCCGAGCTCAAACAAACTTTGTCGTCATCTTGATGAACAGCCACAAAGCCAAGAAGAAGAGCAGGATCTACCCTGTGCCCTGTAGTAGTTTACAAAGTCGTCTAAAGTGTGAGCGGTTTAACTTTGTCGAGAGCTTGCGTGTGCGTCTAAGAAACAAAGTTCTTGAGCTGATGATAATAACATGCGTGTTGTTATTAAAGTGCTTCTGACATCTGATCCTTTCAGAAATAGACAAACGTGACACTGATGCACGAAAAAACAAAGGAGAAGCCTGAAAATACTAAGAAGCAAATTATTTTTTCAGCCACCTAAAAACATTGGTACCCTTTTGGCAATAGAAACGCATGAAAAAGGTGACCCATACCAACCCATATCATACTACTCAGTGGAAACGGGCCATTAGTTACTTTTTTAGAAAGTAATGTTGTTTTGAGTTTTCATATCTGCCTGGTATTTTTCTTGTTTTAATAAAGGAACTCTTCACTTAAAGACACACTGTATAACCTACAACTTAATTTACTTTTAAAAATCACAGAATAATAATAAAAAAAATAGAATAATGTTACCTTCTGAGAACTTCCTAACACTATACATGCCGTATATACAGATTAATGAAAGCGCAAAGCAATATGTTTGGCACTTTTGTATTTTTGTCATATTAGTTCAGTAAAATCATTGTCCATTGAGACTATAATCCCCTTTACTTCCATGAGTTCAAAATAATGAGATTACTTCCATCCCAGAAATGTAAGGTTCTGCCATCTTTGTTATCGTCTGTTCCTGCGGGGATCCAATGTGATTAACTAATGTGTAATTTAATGGGAATAAATTAATCTAAAAAATAACTCGAGTTACATTTTTTAAAAAAGTAACTCAAATATTATTATTTTATTTTTTAAACTACTTTGTTACTTTACTCGTTACTTAGAAATGTAATATTATTATGCAACGTTACCCCCAACGCTGCACTTAATCATGTTGCTAGTAGCTTGAATCAAAAAATTCTCTCAAGGTTTACTCTCCTGGTTACATATAGATTTGGTGAAGTTGAATTTGATATACTTTTTTACATAGTTTGACTGTTCAACTTAATTTAAATATTACCCATTGCAAGATTCAACATGTATAATCAGCCATCGGTGAAAGAGAGAGCACTCTGAATGGCTGTTCGACTACTCCCGTCAGGAGTTTAAGTTGTTAAATAAAACATGACACTAGTGTTTGCGGAAGTTTAGCTAAAGAATAATAATAATAATAATAATAATAATAATAATAAATAAAAAACAGCAACCATTTGTTGTTGCTATATAACTTTGGTATAATAGAAAAATAATAATCAATAAAATTCCAAATGTGTAGGACTACATGATATTGCTGTAATTGCGATGATGTCAAAGGCTAAGGTCAGTTCTGTACACACTGTATTGATTACCGCATTGTGGCCTTAAAGGAATACTTTTTTTATCAATTTAGTTGATGTTTAGCTTAGCATAAATCATTGAATCAAATTAGACCATAAGCATTAGCATATCGACCTAGAAAATAGTAACTTTTTATTTTCCACCAATCATAATACACAATATAACTACAGAAGAGTCGAACTTTAAACAGGAGAAATTAACAAATTACTTTTTTTTATATTTTTTTTTCCAAGGACATGCTAATGGTCTAATCTGATTCAATGATTTATGCTAAACTAAGCTACAAGTGCTCCCATCAGAACTGGGAAATCGGCTGAATGTATTAAAAAAAAATGGTAAAACTCAACTGTTTAACTCTAGGGGACTTGTAAAATGAACATATTTCCTCCACAATAATGTGTTTCATTGAGAGATTTAAGACTTAATTACTTAATTTGTATTCACTTCATTTTAATCTATTCTTCAATAAATCTATAGATCTGGACCAAGAAAAACAAGCATCATGTCATTGACCCACATAATCATCTGATGGTTTTTGTAATATAGGTCGATATCACTACTGTTTTAAAAACTATTATTGGTCTTTTACTAAGTGTGCATGAATTAGCTGCACCTTCATCAACAGGTTTCATCTTTGGCACACTTGAGAGCAGCATATAAAAATCTCTCTGTTCCATTTTCTGATGTGAACTAGAAGGACTGCTACAACTTAATTAAATCCTTTAAGGCAAGACACTGCAGGTGAATAGGGTAAATAAAGAGCCAATGTTTATCTCCATGCTTTTCCAGTTGACCAATTACATTAAGACATTAAGCTTCTACAATAAAAATCAGAACATTAAATGAAGTCAGTTTTAATATTTTTTAGGTATTTTTTTTTGGATATTAAAGTCTTATTAAGGATTTAACAGAGGGAATATGTGGAATCTATTATAATCATGTTATAATTCAGAAAATATTGCAAACGTTGAGATTTTTCCATTTATTTGTTTAATTTGTTTATTTTATTGTGCAATAAAATGTTTTGTATAATCAGACATAATATTTAGAACTTTATGAATTTATGTGTACAGATATTTTATTTGAGATAACATCCTTTAAATACAATAAAAATGTGTATTAATTAAAATATATGGACACATAATTGATAAAGTGCGACAAAATAAACACTTAGAAGTCTATGTTGGATGTTTCTTTCCAATAGACTTGAAATAGAGCCCCAAAATGATCAAATTTACAGTATTTTATAAAATTACAGGTGGTCTTAATTTTTTATTCTGAATTAGCCGTATGAGTCGATTTAGCTTTAATTACTTTAAAGGTGCAGTATGCAAGTTTGACACCCAGTGGTTGTACAAGGTAATGCACTCCTGGATCAAAACACATTCTGACGAATCTACGCAAGCACAGGCTGCCAGATTGACGTGCCTGTGCCTGACTATTAAGCCTAAAGGCTGATTTAAACCCTTTTCTAACTAAAAGCAATGACACGTGACAGAAAAAATTTTCCATGCTAAAATGAGTTTTCGTCCAAACCAACACCTGAAATTTGTATTTTAGGCTCGATTTACAACTATACGTTTCAGTTTTAAAACAGCGTTTTAGAATAAAAATGATCCGCGTCCATACTGGCATTTCACCCAGCGTTTCTGAACAACTCTCCATCCACACCACACCACTGAAAGCACACATTTTTCAGCACATCTACCCATATGAAAGCTGTGCACGTCAGATATATATAATTTTTGCTAATTAATAACCACCTCATGAGGAACTCTGAACCCGTGTCTCCTTTTGGAGTGTACTACTATCCACCGGAGGTAGCATTTCAGTCATGAACGCATGCTTTGCGACCCTTCCTGACTGAATAAATCACATGTGTGGTTTTCCACAAAGGCAACCCAGTGTGCTGAAATATAATTGGCTAACAAGCAGTGGGCGGGTTAAAGAGATCAAAACAAAGACAGACTTTCTGGCACGTGACTAACATCTTCAAAGCAGAATATCTGACTTCAGCATTGTTTTCCAGACAAACAAGAATGTTCACTTAGCATGTTTCTAAATATCTGCAATTATTATATGGTATTTTTATGATTTAGAAGAGTCAAAAACTTACATACAGCACCTTTAAACTACTTAAACAGCTTGAATTACCTGAAAAGATTCGGTAAGAAACATGATTGACTTTTTTTGTTTTTACACAACATATACTGTCATTACTTTCATGGTTTAATAATACATTTGCTAGTAATACCCTTCCACACTGTAAAAAATCATTGCTGCCTTAAAGTTTAAAAATAATTTGTTATAGTTCATGCAGTATCTTGCCTTAAATTTTTTTTAGACTTGATGAATTAAAAAACAAACAATCAGAAAACTAAAAAACACTTTTCACTCAAATGATCCAAATTTACTATGGCTTTTATCCCTCTTCACACACTCACACACTCTCTCCCTCACTCACACACACTCACACAAATCAACATGAGCATGAATATCATCTTCCGCCCACCAAATCAAACCAAACAAAATGGACAACAGTGATTTCATCAATATTGCAACGACTGACTACAGAATTCACCTGATATCCTGAACAGAAGTATTTAGATCTGCGTTTTGTTTCTTTTTTTTTTTTTGTGGGCCGCATGTTTTTGCTCATTGCTAATCGCTGGCTTCCTCTTTCAGCTCCTCTTTCAGCTCCTTCTGAACTCTGCGCAGTAAAGCGTTTTTGCTGACGGCGGTGCGGACGCCGGCCAGGTGGAGCAGAGACCCTGCCGCCTCCTTCATCTCCTCGTCCTCCTCCTCTTCCTCCTCCTCTTCTTTGACCAGGATGTTTTCGGCGCGCCTCTTCTTCAGGGGCAGCGTGTCTCCTTTGGTCCACATCGGTCGCCGGACCTGGGGCGGCTGGGAAGTGGGAGGAGATGCGGCGTCCAGAGGAAAGTCTTTCTGCTCCAGCTTGACCTCAGTGAGGGAGCCCTGAGTGATGGAGCAGGAGGAAGAGGAGGAGGAGACGGCGTCCCCTTGTGAGCTGCTGTACGTGTGGTCCTGCTCCTCCTGATGCTCGTCGCTGGCTGGAGGAGGGGAGTCCGTGTGTAGACTGCTTTTAGCCCGTGTCAGAAAGTCACCCAGGGCTGATCTAATAGGACAGACAGAGACAGGAAACTAGTCAGACACATCATTACAAATCATCTGAATAAATGTAGTTATGTATTTAGTTTTATTATTATTTTTATTATAATGTCATCTCTTTCAGGATTACTTTATCTCTTTTTTCTTGATAGACTGAAAGAGAAAGAGACAAATGAGAGACATAACTAGTCAGAAATATTATTACAAACCATTCGAAAAAACAAATAAGTATACAGTTGCTTACTTCAAATATTTATTATAAATAAATAAATAAATAAGAAAGAAAGAAAGAAAGAAAGAAAGAAAGAAAGAAAGAAAGAAAGAAAGAAAGAAAATACACAACTGTACACAAAAAATTTACACTGTGATAAAAAAGCGCAAACACGATCTCCACCACTGGTGACATTTCCAGACGGCAAAACAGAAAGATTCTGGAAGTGTCCAACTTCAGATGTATTTTTTGAGCCCTCCTCTTACTGCAGCCGCCTGCTCTTGTCTACATTGCAGTCAAGAGGAGGTGCACCTCAAACGAGCCAATTATAAACATTAGCAGCTCCTCCCCTTTTTCAAAAACAGCAAGTAGCGTTTAGTTTTAATCACAGCTCTGCCACTGAGAGTGTTTGAGCTCAAACACATCCAATAAGAAAGCACCTTGAAAGGGGCGGGGCATGTCAGATACTAGAGAGCATTTGATAAGTCAGAAGACGAGAGGAAACTGTAATATGAAGTGACAGCTGATCACTTTTAGGCTGAAGTTACTGCAAGCTTTGGATGTTAATAGCTATTGAATGCGAATTTAGTTTGTGGAGTACACTAGCTTATACACACTAGCATATATCCTTAAAACTATCATAGTGATACTAACATCTAAAAATGCTTACCTTTACCTTTAACACAGAGTTTGATCACTTTTTTGATATACTGACCTGACGGCTGTGGTCCTCTTGCTCGCAGGACTCAATGGAAGGGGTCTGATAACTGGAAAGAGCCCCTGAGCAGTGACGCGTGAGCTGTGCTGGATCACTCTCTGTGGAACTGAAAAACAAACAAAACCGCAGTTACAACACCAAAATACTGAGCCCTTTCTTTTTACACTATAAAAGTCAATGGTTGCAATCGACTGTTTGGTCACATTCTTCAAAATATTTGAAGAAAGAAAGTTTTTTTAAGTTGAGGATGAGTGAATAATGACAAATTTTATTTTTTTATTTTAAAAGAATCATCCCTATGCCCAGTCCAACACAAGACTCAAATCCTCAAAGGTTCAAGGAGAAGACATCTGTGGGGCTTCTGCTGCAATGACAGCACTGTTTGCTTTCAAGCATATTTTGTTTACAGAGTGGATGTAGTAAATTAGCTGAAGAAAATGAACTGTGTCTCATATCCTCTGGGGAAACATACAAGTATGATAAAGAATTATTTGAAGTCTTAAAGGCAAAGTTCACCCAAAAATGTTTCTTTCTTTTGTTGAACACAAAGAAAGATATTTTGAAGAAAGCTGGAACCTGTAACCATTAACAAGTCAATGGTTATAGGTGTCCAGCTTTCTTCAAAATAACTCATTTTGTGTTGAACTGATGATAGAAACTTAAACAGGTTTGAAACGAGTAAAGGCAGAGTAAATGATGACAGAATCTTCAATTTTGAGTGAACTACTCCTTTAAATATAACGAGCAGGCAATTCAAAACACAGAGAACAATGAAGAGAATTAAAGGGATGTGAAAAATGAAAATTCTAATGAGGCTGTTGGGGGAGAGACAAAACGTGTGGAACTAATAGGATAAGAGGATAATTAATGATGGTGAGAAAACCCAACAAAGGAAACACGAAAAAGCTATTAAATAAGTGTACTTGATAGTGTTTTTGTGTTTTGCTTTCTTTGATGTCTTTTCTTTGGCCTTTAGTTCAATATTAATAGAGTTTTTGGCTTAATATTAAATATCGTAAAGCTCTCATAACTGGCTAGTTTCATTCATGCAGTTTAAAATAATAATAATAATGATAATAATAATAATAATAATAATAATAATAAAAGTAATAATAATAATATCTATTATTATTAGACACGGTGGCTCAGTGGTTAGCACTGTCCCCTCAAAGCAAGAAGGTCGCTGGTTTGAGCCTCGGCTGGGTCAGTTGGCATTTCAGTGTGGAGTTTGATGTTCTGTTTGTGTGGGTTTCCTGCAGAGTTTTGGTTTCCCCCACAGTCCAAAGACATGCGGTATAGGTGAACTGAATGAATTAAATTGGCTGTAGTGTATATGTGTGAATAGGAGTGTGTATGGGTGTTTCCCAGAACTAGGTTTCAACTGGAAGGGCATCTGCAGTGTAAAACAAATGATGGATAAGTTGGTGGTTCATTCGCTGTGGTGACCCTGATAAATGAAGGGACTAAGCCGAAAAGAAAATGAATGAATGAATGATAATAATAAAATCACAAACAATTTATGGTGAAAAAAAAATGGGCAGTTGTGGTTGCCAGTAACTTACCATAAAAAAAACCCCAATAGAACCTACATACTTAAAATAAAGTGATTGATTTGCATCGACACAATATTTGCTTTAACCCCTAACGGCCCAAGGCATTTTTTACATGCACTTTTTATTTCTCCTTGCTATTTGGGCTTATTGGAACCTAATTAGAATAAAACCTAAGTATCATGTTTTGATGTGATGTACTTTTAGAGAAAAATTATGTCCAAATATGTGGACTCGAGGTCCGAATTTACATAAAACACTTTTTCCTGACTGTTTTAAATGCATATATAACATGTAATTTTTTTGGAACATGTTTTGACCACAGAGAGTAAAAACAAATTGTTTTGCAAATTTTGGACAGTTAAAAATAGTGTTTGGGACATTTCATATGCTGCAAAACAGTTGCAGGATGACACTGCATGTATAACAAAATATAAAAAATCCAAAGTGTTTTAAATATCCACTTAAGAGCTAAAATGTGCTGTCTATGTATGTGGCCACAACACCTTAGAAGGTTAAGTTGACTCTGATGAAGCATCAAGCCAGAATCATTTACTTGTTAAGTCAATGCAAAGGCGCAAATAGACATCCTGCAACGAGATTTGCGCGAATGAGGCAGCGCGAATGATGCGATTCGTGCCAAAGAAGTGCTGCTTAAAGCGTGGATAGCTCAAGTTGGAAACTCTTAACATATGAAAGAATTTTGCATGCTCAAACTATTGTGTGACTGCAGCATTATTTGTGGATAAATTTGTAGAAAACTCATGAAAACATTTGGTGCCATCTCACATTTTTCTGCCATCTCACATGGTTCAATGGGATCTCAATAAACACAAGTTACGCCTCTAACTTACTACACGTTACGTCGATTCATCTTATGCTCTGTCTTGCAGTTCGTAGACAGATACACTTGCCTTAAGGAGCACTTGCTAATTAAAGACAGGTGTGTTTGATCAAGGTTGCAGCTGAACTCAGCAGAAAGGTAGGCTGCGTCCGAAACCGCATACTTCCATACTATATAGTACACTAATATCAGTATGCGAGCCGAGTAGTATGTCCGAATTCATAGAATTCGAAAATCAGTATGCAAGAAGTACTTGGATGACTTACTATTTCCCACGAGATTCTGAAGTGCGCATCCCACGCACGCTGCGCTATCCCATGATGCCCTGCGAGAGAATTCATGAATGGGAGTGAAAAGATGGAACTGGTGCAGGTAGGGTCACGTGACCATGACAAAATGGTAGATGAAGTACGTCCCAATTCCATTAATACTTTTCACATTCATACTTTATAGAATGTACTTTTCTATCGGCCGAGTAGTACGTTTAAATTCAAATGCAGTACCTACTGAGTAGTAGGCGGTTTCGGACGCAGCCGTAGATTCAGGAACAAAAGTGGTCATCCCCGGCTCTAATGCATCGTGTGATTGGCTGTTTGCTGCAAGTGCCTCACATACAGCTGCACGCGGTCCAAACTGAATCACAAACTCTGGATTCAACCCTGATTTAACAAAGAACGTTTAACCTCAACATGACCTTAATCAAGTTGAATTTGTTTGGTTTTGTCAACCCAAAACTTACTTGGCTACCCGGAGTTTGTTCAACTTGTTTCGTGCAACAGGCCTTGGACTTATTAGGAAAAACCCTTGATACATTACATTATTTTTTTAAGTATAAACCTGTCTTCATGTATACGGGCTGCAAGTTAACTGATCTGATAATCATTCAATCTTTGAATAACCGGAAGACCAGTAACAGTTTTGACAACCGTTTTTAAAAGCAGACAAACAAACTAAAAGTGCTTCTCCCTAAGGGCGAGTAAATCATTTCATTTCATTCACATGGTGAAAGGACAAAAGTCAGCCTTCGCTAGTCTCCAACCAATCACACACTGTGAGCATTACGACTTTGGGTAGTAGCAAAAAAGCAGCCTTGAGCGAAACCCGTCTCACACAAACACACACACACAGATCTCTTTGCTTTCATGTAGACAGCCATCAAGACGTTCACATCAGTCAAACTCCAATAGGCCTGTGCTCAGACACTTTTCACAGGCAGCTCTTCCTCCATTATTCCATTATCAAGAGCAGACGGGGACGAGAGAGGAGCCACTACAGACAGATAATGTATCCATTTCCCTCCATTTAGCTGCTCGCTCTGGAGTGGAAAGAGAGCACCCTGATTGGAATCGAATGGACATTTAAACGGCCGGGACGCCAACAGGGAGTGAAAGAGAGAGAGAGACACACGGACAGACTAAAGGAGAGAGAGATGAACGAGTGGTTAAGGGAAATGAGAGAATCAGTGGAAAAAACAGAACGATTCCCAGGACATTACAAAGGTAATCTGTAGGCGCAAAGCAGCTATTTGTGCGATAAAGAAAGGTTTTTTTGTAGATAAATCAAAATGAAGAGGCCTTTTCAAGCCACTTTTAAAAGGTTGCCTTTAAGCACTAGACATGAAGTGTTCTTTCCCGTTTTGACATGTCCTTCATAAGGAGGCTATTTGCAAGACTATTTTTGCATTAATCCCTTTTTTTTTTATTGCCAGTGCATAAACAAACTTAAAAAAAATAGACCTTCCAGGACTTCCTGGACTGTCTATTCCTGGGCTATAACCTGTCAGAGAAGTCTAGTGGCTAGGAATGACCTTTTTACAGTGTCTGCTATAATGTAAAAGTTGTTTTTGTGTGTTTACATTGATAAAGTTACAGTACAGTTAGGATCTTATTGCCACATTATATCGTTATGACAACATGATATCATTTCCTTTAGTTATTTCCTGAAGATAAATACCAAAAAAAATAACGCAACTGCAATAATGACAGCAGTCGCAATCATCTGATATTATATGAAGTAAGAGATCGCATATGATGACGTGTGCAGGTGCTGTCCCATTACCTATTAGTAAATTAGAAGCCCCTCCCCTTCATGCTTAGTTTCAAGGGCCAAGGTGAAGGGGTACAAAATAGAATTGCCCAATTTAAAATTTCTTACGTTTCAATTTGAAATAAAAGCAATTTTGAATTGTCTAACAGTTTCAACAATGATATTCACATATTTTTTAGCATATTTGAAAGATTTAAGTATGTCTGACGTAATTATGCTTAAAGTTACGCTTTGCATGATAGAAACTAATCACGTTAAAGTAAATTAAATTTAAATCTGTTACACTACATTCTAAAAAATATCTTACAGTGCAGCTGTATTTGTTTTTAACCCCTGTGTATGTTAAAATTGAATACCCTTTTGTTATGTTCAGGATGAAAACATCCACTGAATTAAACTGCTGTAAAAAGGCATCGGATAAACATTTTTTGGTCAATTTTATTTGCATAAATCTGTTAATCAACCTCAGTCCTGATCAAAACTACTAAATCGCTTAGAACATTACAGGATTTTAACTCTTTGATTGCCAAGTTTACAAACGATGTCACTGATGTCACAGATTTTCATTTTTTCTCCCTGATTTACTTTTGGTGGCTGTTTTTTGTCCCATTGACTTCCATTAAAACCTCATTTGATGGTGCATAAACACAGTCTTTGTTTTTGTTTACTGTAGTAGTTCTGTATGTAGTTCTGAGAGCTGAGATGCATATTTTAATTTTCTCAGACACATCAAGGTATGTGCGCAAAGGTAACTCTCACACTCACAGACACACACTTTAATTTTCTCCATATAACATTGAGAACCTTTTTTTTTTGTTGCAAAGGCCTATCAAAAGGGTTATTGGTGCCCACTGATGAGCAACAGTAAAAGTTTAAAATTGTATCTCTTTCCAACAGGGGAAACCCCCAACTATCAAAAATGCATGATTATATGGTGTCATAGTTTTGTAATCAAATAAATGTGGTTATAATGGAAGTCAATGGGGCAAAAACAGCCACTAACAGTAAATTAGGGAGAAAAAATGAAAATAATCAAAAACAATCCATTAAAGGCAATCCTGTTTCACATGTCAAAACTGAGAAAAAATGTAAAAAAAATCCAGTCCATGATTACTTTTTAAAAATATTTTTATATGCTTTTTTTTCACCAAATCAGTGACATCATTTATGAATTTGGCAATTAAAGAGTAAAAATAAATATGGGTCGAAATAGGATTTGTCACTAAAAATCTTTTTGCTAGCTGAAACTGAGAAAGTAATGGGCAAATTAAGACACAATCACCACAGAGTGCATGAAAACATCCCAGTACATAAGGGTTCATTAAATATAGCATTGAACATAAAAGACTTCTTTCAAAACAATTGAGGCTAGCATACCTGTTTATGTGTTAAAAGAACATTCCACATTTATTTAGTCTCAAGAGTTAAACTTTTGAGTTTTACCATATTTTAATCTAGTCAGCTGAATTCTTGGTCTAGCGGGAGCATTTTTAGCTAAGCTGAACATAAATCATTGAATTGAGTTAGACTATTAGCATCTTGGACAAAAAAGTCACACCCAAGTTAATAACTCATAACTGGCCTAGTTCAGGCCCAGTTATGAGTTATTAACTTGGGTGTGACTTGACCCAGATATGGTCCATGTTTGGTCCTTGTCTGGAAGCCAAACTTGGTCCAGTTATGAATTAGTACCATAATTCACTATGGTATGTGGGCCAAGCAAAACCTGAATGTGTTGGGTAAAGCTGGGCTAGAGAAATTTTGTTATGTGGCTAGTTTCAAAAGTAATTCTGAATTTAAAAAAAAATGTAAAAAATGTGTCAAAATACAAACTTTGGGGGATTTTACCTTGTAAGAGCACTCCTCCATTTTTTCTGTAGAGTGGACTTCCTGGCCATAGTGGAGGACTGAGGGATATAAACACAGAATGAGAGTATTAAAGAGAGAAATCCAGATACTGTGAAAAGCAAGTGTAAATTTTTATATGAACTTTTAAAAACCCATTCGAAGACTGATAAAGGCAGAGGAGTAGGAACCATAAGTGGAGAATGAGAAGAATGAGAATCTGATGTTGTGGAATGTAAACTGGAGACTGAGAGGCAGCGCAGGAATCTAATTGAACCAGCAGAGACATTGTGCCGAGGTTTGGATTACTGTGTTTATACCATCTAAAGCAATAGATCCAAATGGCTCCAATTTTCATTAACTGACCATATAATCATTTAACTTGCTGTTTTAAGCCAATCCATTTCTACCCATTATATGAAGGGATAGAGGTGCCTTGATGTTCTTTTGGTTGGAGGAATAGAGGACCAGATATTCCTTTGAGGGCACCTATGGTAAAAAAAATCTACTTTTCAAGCTGTTTGGACAGACATGTGTGTAAGTATAGTGTATAGACCGTCATATTGGAGTGATATAAACACACACAGTCTTTTTTTCAATTTAACAACATAAAAATGGTGGACCAATAAGAGCAGTTTTCAGACCGACTGCAACTTGACGTAGGAGAGCGGTCCCCCCACCCACCAATATTGATTGACAGCCTCGCGTCACGATCATATCCTCAGTATCTTCTTGCACGTTCGCCATTTTCAGCGTGTGAGTTAAAGCGATATCACTAAAGGAACACCCTCTCTACCTGTCAGGTGTCATCTAACCTGCTCTATTTTTTATGAAAAGCTCATTGGGCTCAACACAAGATCGATATTCTCCACGTTATCGCTGTAATCAGAATTATTGCTTGTACCTTTTCCGTGGCGCGGCGCTGTGCATTTTGGAGTTCTAGGCGTGGGTTTCTGTCGGGGTGCACGCTGCGGAGCTTCGGGTCAGCGGCTCGGCGATTGTGTTTGGTGGAGGTTTGTGTTTGGAGTTCTGGAATGCGTAGCTTGACGATTTGGGACACTTCATGTTTCTGCCGCGTCACTGAGTGTGTCTGGTGTGCCGTGTTGTGGCGCATTCGGTGCCTTAGTCAAAGTTAATTCAGTGTGTGTGGGTTATTAGTCTCCGAGCTTGTACACCGTGACTATACAAAGACACAAATGATTTTGTACTCTCTGCTTGGTCTGTGTCAGAGTCGTACATGTACGGCTGAATGCTCAACCTAGCTTAGCTTAGCTTCTCTCTCTCTGTCTGTCAGCCTGTCTGTTGCAAACACAGAGCGTGGGAGCTCTTGGCTCCGCCCCCTTGTTACATTGGGCGGGAAGCCAAAACTTTGAAGCAACTGTGAAGCAACACGCCCCCAACATGACACTTTAACACATTATAATAAAAACATCTGAACTGCGTGCTGAACTGGCACACTCAGAAGAACCATAATATTAATATTAAATCATAAAAAAGGGGCAAACTATGTGCCCTTTGAATTGGGTTTTTAGGGGCTCCACATAAAGCTTAGGTGTATTAAGCCTGATATCATGAGGAAATGTAACTTTTACCTATTGTCAGAAAAGCGGCTTATTTGTACAAATTCATACGATTTAATTTGTACAAACTCATGTGTTTCTTTTTTTAAATGTGTTCCCATCACTTTAGTGAACAGAACCTGCAGTGAATAACAGTAATAAAGTTGTAAATAATGTTCGACAAGAGCTGCACTCGGCAGTGAAATTGAAACCGAAAGTGCGCACATCATTTATAATCATGTCGCAATCATGATTATGACTATGAGTAGCATTTGATACGTTTTCTTTCATAGGGAACACAAAGTGTTGTGCATAAAAATAAATGTTTACTGGGTCAGTATAACTACTCTAGCTTATATAATGTTGAATATAATGCAGGAGGGAAACTGATAAAAAAATGTCTCATTTTATCAGTGAATAAAATGGTCTAATAATGTTGTCAATGACAAATAGCAAGCATATGTTTCAAACATAATAATTCAACTTCAGAAATATAAATAGTTGTATTCTGATGTCAACACTTTACTGTGCATAAATGACCAGGACAAATTTAAAGTTTGCTCAAGTCCATCGTTTCAAGTCAAGTCATTCCAATTTAGCATTTTAATAATAATAATTTTTATTTAAATAGCGCCTTTCCAGAGGTCAAGGACACTTTACAAGGAATGTAACAAAAAGATAAACAAACATACATGAAGTCAAATATAACAAACTGGAATTAAACAAACAAGACCTAAGAGACATATGAGCAGAGTGGAGGTGAATCAGATAAAGTAGTCAGTTTGGCAGTTCAGAAGCGAAGCATTCAGAAAATAAGTGAGTCTTAAGTAAGGATTTGAATTCAGAGATATTATTAGCAGAGCGAAGTGAACGTGGTAGAGAGTTCCAGAGTTTGTGTGCAATAACACTAAATGATCTGCCCCCCTATTGAAGACAGACGGTACCGAGGGACAGCGAGAAGGCCAGAGTCAGCAGAACGTAAAGAGCGATTTGGGGTGTAGGGGACAAGCATGTTGCAGAAATAGGAGGGTGCTAGGTTATTTAAGGATCTAAATGCAAGGAGAAGAATTTTAAATTTAATGCGGTATGCAACCGGGAGCCAATGGAGATCAAACAAGATTGGGGTTATGTAAGCAGAACTTTTGGTATGAGTGAGTATTCTAGCTGCAGAGTTGTTAACCAACAGTACAACAGCTACACATAAGCCTAATATTATTGTTGTTTATCTTACCATATGTTTGAGAATTAACAATAATAACAGTCTATACATATTGACCTTAATTTGACATCTACAGAATTGTGAGAAAATCACAATCTTGATTTTAAGCAAAAAATTTATAAAAATCGTAATTCTCATTTTCACTAGAATCATGCAGTCCTACTGATGACCCTGACAGTCAATCACATTCAATTATTTTGAGAACGTGAACACAATGGTAAATCAGCAGCGTTTAGGAACGTGCTCAAAAGTGCTTAAATGTTAGCAGGATATGGACGTTTTTAAAATTCAAATACAGATTGCTACCTAATTCCAGTATTGTGACAACACTAGACCATAGAAGTTCATAATAATTAGCCACTAAATTAAAAAGTTACAAATTGCCATGAAATTTCATTGGGGTATTATAAATTTGGTATCGGGCCTTAAGCTGGGTTTACACAAAATAAGAATTTAAGGCCCAATCGAAATTCTATTTCCTTGAAAAGCATGAAGGGGAAGGGCTCCAAAATTTACCGCTAAGAAATGGGACAGCACTACAGCACCTGCACACGTCATTGCGAGTTCTTGCTTCATATGAGATTGACGATCGCGACTGCTGTGGTTATTCCAGTTGTGTTATTGTTTGGTAGTTTTCTTCAGAAAATCACTGAAGGCAACGATAGCATGTTATCATAATGATCTAATGTGGCAATAAGATCGTAACAGTACTGTGCATTTACACAATGGCCATATTCATCAATGTAAACACACAAAAACAACATTACATTATAGCTAATACTGTAAAAAGGCCTTTCCCAGCCACTAGACTTAAGTGTCACCGAGTGTCAGAATGTTGTGCGACTGCAATACAGGAGTTATTATTATGGATTATAGATAGCGAAATTTATGGGTTTTTATTTTAGCCTTTTTTTTTTAAAGCTGACGGTAAAACACGAGTTCTGTTATGAATATAATAAAACATATGCTTGTTTATTGTAAAAATTCATAATAACAAAAAGAAAATAAATACTAATTTGTGGATCTTCTTACTTCCGTGTGTAGGCATGCTGCCGTTGCACACTGCAAATTTTTGATAGTAGATTTTACTACCTTAGGGTTAAAATTACACTCCTTCAGAGTTTACAATAACACTTTTGAAAGAGTTAACATTATCAACACTCAGAGAGTGTTAATTAGCAAACTCTTATACGGTACAATATCTGTTTAATTTGCGGAAAGATACCAGCAGCTGTGGTTGCCAAAATGTTTCCGCAAAAATACGGAAGTTTTATAGAACTGTTTAAATTTACAGGTAAATAACTGTACTTCATGAACTGATACAATGTTCAGTTTACAAAATCGTAGTGCACAAGAATGTAAAGTCATTAAATGCATTGATGTGTTCATGTGTGATTGCAATTAACAAACTTTTCACTGCATTAGTAACTTCACAGCTACCTTCAAACAAAAGAACATGCAGCACAACATCAGATACACTCAGTTCATCTTGGACTTGAACACACAAGCTACTATCCTCCACAATGGTGACAAAAAAAAAAATAAAAAATGTTTTGCTGTTTTTTTTCCCTTTTTTTTCCTTTCTAAAATACTGGCAGCTGTGGTTGCCAGTGATCTACTGTTAACATTTTACATTTTACATTTTACAACATCTCCAGAATATTTCCACCGTCTGCATTTTTCATCTGTGTATTCTGGGAAACTTTTGTTCCTCTTGGTTGAGTCTGGTCCTGAAAAATCTGTTTCGAAGGGTATCTACCCTTCCCCTTGGCCCTGCGCCTTCAAGCTAAAAAGAATTGAGACACCCCTAGCCCTTCGTGTGAATGCGCAAAATGAGGAGTAGGGGTAAGGGCTAAGGAGTAAAATAGAGATTGGGCCTTGGTATTCATAAAAGTAGATTACAAACAAAGTAAATGCAAATGCGCGAAGAGAGAGAGGGAGAGAGAAGAATTTCCCCTGGGCGGTGCAAATAATGCAGAATCCACAATGTGTTTGCCATAAATGCACAAAATTTGCTGAATCACATCTTTTGCGCAAGTTAAAAAAATGTAACATGTTTAAGTGATGAAATCTGCATGTGCTCTTTGAGTTTGGTGGGAATCCTGCATTAGTCTTGACACAAGATCCTTAACTCACCATGTGTCCCTTGTTTGGCCTTATTTCCAACTGGTATTAAGATACATTTTTAATGAATGGATTACATGTGTAAATGAGGTATAAAATGTTTTGAGATTGCACTCTCTTTTTTTTTTTGACTGAAAATTCTAACAGGGGATAAATTTGAAAAGTCAGAATTACTCGATTGACTCTAAAACAGTTGGAATGCAATTAATGAAAGAAAAATCAGTTTGTATGTTTGCAAACTGAACATCTGTACAATTGTTTACACCATAGGAGACTTTCATTTCCCAAAAACAGAACTAGAGACCACAAGCTACTGTGAGCGGCTCCCTGATCCCACAAGAGGAAGTGGGGGGGAAATCAAGGAAAAGGCTAGAAAATAAATGTGCAGATATCTACTGTTGCTATGGAGTTTAGTGTTGCTAAGCCTATAATGTATTTCTTAGCACTAACTGTCTGTCCTATCTCTGTTTTTTCCTCTTCTTTTGCCAGACAAATAGCTTTGTGCTACTGTTCCACCTGTCTCATGCATGTGTTGCCATGGAGGTGCTCTGGTCGTCACAGCAACAGCAGAGGAGAAGAGAAGACTCGGGAAGGGCAAGCGTGTGCCATTTCTTTACATCTCACAGATTCCCCAGAGGACCATGTCCAGTTGCTGACGAAGTGTTTAGGAATGAGTGAGGAACTGACCCGAAATAGTCATATTCAATGTGTTATTCACAAGCAAGGTCATATGATGTGCCTCTAAACTAAGCCATGTATATAAGTTATGTTTCCTTCGGTCTTCCTTTTTCTCGAATTCATGGAGTGATCGGTTTTTAAATCAAGAATTATGTTGCCTAAATTGAAAATACTAAATATAAAAGTTAAAAATGGCAAAGCTAAGATCATCCCAATCATATTTTAATATTCCACACCAAGACACACGGTTTTTGTGCCCAAGACCTTCAATTACGGAAAAGACTGCATGGGGATTTTCATGGCCATGCTAAATGGAAAGTGTGAATGAAAGTACCATAAGTAAAATAAGAAAAAAAAAAAAACTGGTTAACAGAGGGAAATACCCAAAAAAGAAACTTGAGGAGTTACCTGTGGTATTGCTGAGGAGAGGCAGATGGGGAGGTAGAAGGTTTTGGAAGCCGAGGGGAATATGGATGATATGGAGTCTTCTTCAGAGCCTGAATCAGATTGTGTCTGTAGTCAGGGTCAATAGACCAGAGGGAACCCTTTCCTATGCTCTAAAATAAAGAAAAAGAGACAAATTAATGTCATGTTACATCTTCAGTCTTTTAGTATCTTCATTGAGATCAACAACATTATGAGATACTGCACAGAAAAGGTGGCCAGCTTTCAAACTTTCTAGCGAAGTTTAGCTCCAACCCTGATCAAACACACAGATACTGTCTTTAGGATTACAAATGCATTTGTCAAGAGTTGGAGCAAAACTTTGCAGAATGGTGTACCTATAGTGCTAGATTTGCCAAGCATTTTACAGATGCATACTATAAAATGGGGCTCGTCCGGGATATTAATTAAGAACCTAAAGAAATTATGCCTCTGAATCAGGGGTAAGCCAGGCACTGGATGGCTGCTCTCCAGTAGATTTTTACCTCCAACACCAATCAAATTGAGCCAAGTCAGCAAATTAACATGGTTTGAATTATCTGATGATAACACTTAACTATTTTGAAGTGAGTTTGAAAGTCTGCTGGGGGCTTGTCCAGGATAGGAACATCTCCAGTCCAGGAGGATTTGTGTCCTGTTGAATTCCCATCTAATCCCAAACCCCAGACGTAACTTAGAGACTAGCGGGCTGAACTAGAACACCAAAGTCTGCAGGATACTGAGGGACCTCAGGGGCTTGAATTGAGGAGTTCTGTTTTAAATTCATTGCTTTCACACCTGTGCTTCGGTTCATTTGGTCAGGAGGGCAACAAAACATACACTGTAACATGTTTGTGGTTTTGATTTCTTTTCACAGCACACTGATTGCTCGGGACATGTGACAACATACACATCACTTGTTGGCCAGATGTGTCATTGAACGTAATTCCTAAATTGCTTTTTTCGGTCAGAATTAACTTGCAGAAATATGCCAGTGGAAATACAGAAAATAAACAGCGGAAAAAAAGCCAGCAGACAATATGACACTTGCTAACATTAAGAGACAATTGTGCTGGCCGATTGTATCCCTAGTTATTGTACATTATACAGTTTATATGCATTACTTCTGTCAAACTATACACTTTGTAAATGAAGTGCAGATGCAGTTTGAAAACGATGTTTTAACGCTCTGCAAATGACAAAAGTGCATCACAAGTCATTTCAGGAATTTGCGAGCTACCATGGAGCTGCTGCTAGAGCACTGTAAACAAATACTTGCCCCCATATTACACAACACAGCTGACTACAGCAACTGGTTTAGGCCAAAAATAAGCAGTACTTTTTACACTAGGGCAAGACTGACTTTAGATCATGTTGTCACCACAGCTGAAGCCCTTGAATGCATTCAATTGAAAGTGCGTACCATAATAAACTCTTTAAGCAGGTCTCGAGACCCTTGTATGGTCCACATTTGGCATCCTTGAGTAGGATTGTAATTGTACCCAAATGAACCACAACTGATTTAAACAAGGCGGGCACTCAGAATCAAACAACCTAAAAGTGATGCCATTCAACAGGGGTGACCAAACTTGGTCCTGGAGGGTTCGGTGTTCTGAAGATTTTAGCTCCAACCCTAATCACAAACACACCTGAACAAGCTAATTAAAGTCTTACTAGGTATACTTAAAACACCCAGCCAGGTGTCTTGAGGTACGTTGGAGCTAAAACCTGCAATGACACCGGCCCTCCAGGACCCCGGCCATACATTTTACATTATCAATTGCAAAGCTTTAAGTAAACTAAGCAGCAGGGTGGAAGATTAGACCTAGCACAAGAGACTCTCAATGTGTAGTGAATACAGAGGCACCTTTAAAAACTGCCTCAACAGGCAACACTGGCATGTATTTTTAGATCAAAGAGGCTGTTCTCCACCTAATTAAGCTGTCTGCCCTCCATCAGGGGCTTCCAGAGCCACATTTCACTTTACCAAAAAACACAACTCCGACAAGCCATGAAATTCAACCTCGTGCGCCTTTGATCTTCACTCTTCTATTAAGCACAAAAATAAGTGAGATGGGATGATGAAAGTGCTTTGATATTATTGTAGTTACAGAACAGTCACTATAGCAATGATCAGCAGTGTTTACTGACACACCACTCAAGGCAATTAAGATTTGATTAGACAGCCTGACAAGCTAGCAATTTCCAAATGGTTGGGGAAGCAACTATATTTCATGTTTGTGTATGTGAGTGTGTGTGCCTTTCACACTGCTGGAGGAGCCATTGGCCCAGCGTGCTGTTTCCACCCGGAGTGCAGGGTAATTCAAATACACTCCCCATGACTTCATTCATAACTTCCCCCACCAGCCTTCCATCTGCCCTCAATTAACTATCAACATGCCTGCGAAACATCATCACAGGCCGACGTACATCATTCAGTACCTCTGGCACACCGTCCCGAGTAAGTCTGGCTCACCTGGAGTCCAGAGCAGCATGACTCCTCTCTACAGGAGACAGAGGAGGAGCAGACACGCACCTGTGGTTTGCTAGTCTCCAAGGCAACAAGTATAAGCGAGGGATGGCTGGTAGGTAGGTTGTCTGGTTGGAAGGTTTAGCACAAGCATCTCTCAGTCTACATGGAGACAATGATGGTGTTTTTTAAACCAGCCTGGGCCCATGTGCTAATCTTTCCCAACCGTGGTAAATGAGCAAAGCAGATTTCTGCCACAGACTGTATGCTGAGAGAGCCAGAATACATGATTGCCTATTTTTAAAAGAGAAGGCTTCTAGTCGTGGCTTTTTAAAAGTATACACACATTTTCATGAATGTTAAAGGGCTACTATAATGGAAAATTGGATTTTCCACACAAACCATTTTTGGAAACTAAGCTGTAATAATGGCGTATTTAGAAACCTTCATGGTTCTGGAGACACAGACACTTGTACACACATTACACCCACATATAAAGTTAAAGGAATCATAGTACTATAAAAAAAAAACATGTTTCAGAACTTTTTTGGTAATCTAAAAACATATACTCCTTGACAGAAGCATTTCTGTTAACTGACCACATTGTCAAACATCTGAAATGTTGTTGTGGTCATCCTAAAATCCATCTTCAAAGTGGTTCAGAATTATTACCTTGAATTGACTTTTCCTGACTGTCTCACACTTCCAAAAAGCACTCCGTTTTCATTGGTTTTCGCCTTCTAATTATGCAAGTTATTGAATACAGTGGTCCACAACCACTGGGCCGCAGAGTGGTACTGATCCATGGATCAATTGGTACCGAGTCGCACAAGAAGTCATTAATTATTTCCGTTTAATTTATTATCTGAGTCTGAACAATCTTTTATTTTGAAAAATGACTGTATTCTCTCGCTTACATCTCAGTCAACTGAGCACCCAAATTTAACCTGCAAGGAGCAAAATTGGGTTAGAAACAGACGTCTTTGGTAAGTTTCTTTGCTAAGGCGCAGTGAAAGACCAAGGAATGGATCCACAACCCATATGTCAACAAATCAGGTGAATTCACCTTGTATGTGCAAGAACATATAGCTGTTCGCATATTACATCTTTTCTAGAGTTTGTGCAAGTTCATTATTTCCAATAGAGGTGGGTAGGCTGCGTGCAGAAACAGTGTGACACGTCATGCCTTCCAGACGCCTCCAGTTGAATGAATCCCATGAGCGCACCGCAAGTCACGTGACAAGACCTGAACGATCAGCTTCAGCTTGTATGGAATATACACATTTTAGTAGACTAATTATCTCAGACAAACACAGAACACCCAAACACTGCAGTGTTTTGTAATTTTCTCTTTAAGTACAATTTGTATCAGCGTGACAGCAATGTTTTGTCAGCTTGTCATCTTGAGAGAAAATGGTTGATGGTTGCCTAGGAACCTAAGATCCGCTTCCCCTCCGCACCGACCCACGCCCCCTGGTCTGAGGTAAAATTCTTAAGCATTGACCGGTCCGCAGTGATAAAAAGGTTGAGTACCACTGATTTAATACATAATTAAGGCCCATAGTGGATTTTATTTCTTATTTATATATTTGGCGGCAGTTTATCATGAAGTGACAATTTTGTTCTCTTTGACTCATTGGATGAAAACTGCTTCATTCTCAAATGTTTTATGTGATATTTATTATTTATAATTTATAATTTTATTATTAATATTTTATGTGAGTTTTGCACATAAACCTAGTTCACATAATTGGATAGAAAAATGGCTACTGTTCCCAGCAGGCACACAATGTCATAAAGCGTTAATATTAGTTTAGATTTAGGTCGTGGTGTCAAGTGACTAAAATTGTATGTCTAGCTAGCATCTAAGGACAAAGTTATTTTGACGTCGAGATCTTAGAAAGTGACCAAAATATAAACGTCAAGCAACATCTTAAATTAATGTCATATTGAAGTCAAATACTGACACACACATACACACACATACACACACATACACACACACAGTTGAAGTCAGAATTATTAGCCCCCTGAATTATTTTCGCCTCTGTTAATTTATATACATATATATATATATATATATATATTCAGTTCCATTAAATTTCCAGTGATGATGATTGCTCTTTATTTAAAAAAAGCGATTGAATATAAATATAATATTTAATATTAAAATATAATATTTTTTTAAATAGAATTTTCAGAGTTCACAAATTATTCTCTAATTTTGAGCTGCATACTGTGCATGCATATGTAATTTACACTCTGGGTTATATAAACCACTTTTCAGAGGGATCTATTCGGTTTTCTATCAGAAAATTACTTAGATTTTTCTGTGCTCAGTGAAATGTGATAGAGCTGGTCAAGTAACCTGAACTTCACCCACTTTAACAGATCATCCTGTTTCATACCACTACTCTGAAATCTTCTCACACACACACACACTAACACATCCACATAGCAACGCAGCCAATCAGTTTTGCTGTTGCTACAGAAACCGCATGCTTTTCATGTCAACTACAGCTCGGTTGCTATGGGGAAATGTATACAAGGAAAACTCTGGTCGTTGTTAGGCACCAAATGAAAGCATGAAGGCTCAGACAGGTACAAACACACACTTTACAATGCAAACACACTCTGCCAGAGCAAATGGTGCTTTTATGTACGATTATATGATTATTTTTTCACATCTATACTTTTGATTATAATCCTGGGCAGGTTTAAAAATCAATAGTGCACATTCATGAACAATCTCATAACAAGCTAAGTATAATATAATCTAATGTGGACTTTAAATATAATGTGGATTTTGATTTAAAGGATCTTTTTTTGAAAATAGACTTGTTTTGCAAAAGTTAAAAAGAGTTGAGTTTACCACTTTTGAATACATTTAGCCGAACTCTGGGTCTGGCAGGATTACTTTAAGCTTAGCTTTGCATAAATCATTGAATCGGATTAAACCGTTAGCATCTTGCTCAAATAATAATTAAAATATATGCATTTTAATTGACCTATTTAAAGCTTGACTCTTCTATAGTTAAATCAAATGATCAAAACTCTTCCTGAATTTTTTCAGCAAGACAATGATGGTCTAATTCGATTTTGTCATCTGAAACGTGCATAAAAAAACCCGGTAGGGTTGAGCAATGTTGACCAATTTGGCATCGTACAATGTTTAATGTGAAACTTCACGATGGATGATGGCAACATCATCGTAGGCAGCAGTGAATTAATTATTTTTAAAAAATTAATTAATTCATAACTAATCAATTATTTGTAGCCTACCGTTCAACTACCTGACCCGCATGGTCTTTGTTTTACCCATAACCAAATCGTAAACAAATAAAGTTGCACACAAATTACCACCTTTCAATCACTTTTTCCGCAAGACTCTGGCATGAACAGGCAGAGTGATCTGTGTCTTTATAATGGCGTTGACAAACTTGGTTGGTAAAAAAGTTGCACAACCAACAGGAACCAAACAACAGTATCTGAGAATTTCGCTAACATTACTAAGTAGAAGCATGAAAGCGAAAGATTGAAGCAGAGAACTGACAATGTGAAACGCTACCTGACAGATTCAAAAGACAAAAGAGTCATTAGAGACTAGATTAATTCAATATCACGTTTAACAACTATAGTGAGACACAATCCAGAGGTACATTCTTAGCGTTGGATGTCGCCAAAGAAAGTGTAAAGGTTTGTGGAGTCGCGGAAGAAAGTATAAGTAAACAGCGGACAGAGTGCCGGATCATACTTCAGAGGTGCCAGATCCGGATCTGGCCTGTTCCGGCACAAATTAAGCCCTGGTGATGTCCATCAGCGATGGACGATGGCATCTTCTATCGACCCAACCTTAATACCTGCACCAACATATTTTAGCATTTGTAAAATTGTAGGCTGAGCATGCATTTCCAATGCAGCTGGACTGAATTAAACCTCTTACATCATCTACATGTGCAAGCGGACAATTCGTAAATGTATCGAGTCATGTAACATTAATAAATTTGAATCAAAACAACAATTTTTTAAATGTGAAAGTTGAAATTCTCATCTAACAGCAACACAACTTCAAGACAAAAAAAAGACAAGGTCACAATATATGGGACTAAAAGCCACACCAGTCTAAAATCCAGGGAATCCTCACCTGACTGCGATCCTTATCCACCTTTTTGAAGCATTTATTGAGAGACAGGTTGTGTCGCACTGAGTTCTTCCAGCCAGTCGGGGCACTGGAGAAGTAGGGGAAGTGTTCCAGTATCCAGCCGTAGATGTCTTTTACGGGCAGTCTTTTCGACGGGGCGTCCTCAATGGCCATGAATATGAGGCAGCTGAAGGAGTATGGTGGTTTGCGGCTGGGTCCTGTAGACAGGTGGTAGGGCGGCTCGTTGGGTTCCGGGGAAGACGAGGGCGAGGGCTCGTGGGCTCCGTTGGCATCCTGGACAGGGCTGACACTGCGCAGGCCAGACTGGCCCAGGCTGGTCAGCAGGTCAGTGCTCTCATGCAGCCAGCTGAGGCTGGTGAGCTCCTCATCCTCGGCCCGGCTGAGAGAGGTCGACAGTGCCAGCGAAAGATCGGCTGCATCTGTGTCCTGGTAGAGCGGACTGAGACCCCGCGCCACACTGCCACTGCTGGGACCCTCGGCCTTCTTACCTGGAGGCATGACCACCGGACCCATGCGGCCCCCGGCTCCTGCACACAAAAAGTGATGACAGGATTATTGCGACTGCAGGTTTTTATATGACGACACTTTTGTCATTCATTCATTTATTTACTTATTATTTATAAAGTACATATTAGTCTCCCATGTTTAAAAATAATAATAAAACTCTGGCAGGAATTATAGTTAAAACCAACTCTGACTTTTTTTTTTTTTTAAGTTGCCAGCTACTACCACCAATTTTTTTTAAATATAATTTTCACCTAAATCTGAAGGCCCGCTGAATATTTTGTCCTTTGAAACCATGATTATACTGAATATAAAAACAAAGAACCAAGCCTAAACTAAAATTAAACTAATTAAACTAAAATTAAATTTTATTCTATCTTCATGTGTTCATGTTTTATCCACACTTGAATGCAGAGAGGTTTCATGAAAAATGCAACATTCTTGACAAAATGCGAATTTTCTGGACGTATAAGACCCCCTAGTTTTTTGTGATTCCACGATTGCTGAAATCAACAAAAGTCGCAATTTTTTGCGATCCTGCAAAATTCTTCAATGCAAAATAATCGCAAAAAAACTAAATAATCTTATGCAACATCCAAATCCAAACCACATAATCAAAATATATTTATTTCAGTTTGCAATTAATTGTTTTACATGGCTTATAGACATTCCAGATGCAGCACACGTGATTTAAAAATCTCTCGATACTGATGCCTTACCTGCAACCTCACAATCATTACATTATTAGTGTTTTACAGGTATAGTTGGTATTAGGATGTGGTTAAATCGATAAATGTTTTGTTTAACTTTTTCCTGCAGTTATCGAGAGAAAACGCTTCCCTGTCATTGACGAGTTTTACGACAATCTGTGTTTTAGGCGTTTGTCTTATGTGTGACATGATGTCAGATGCTCCAGGGAGTGAGATCTGAGGCAAAGAAAAATTGTGGATAAAAATAAGAGCAATACAACCTTCCTTTAGCTTAATCCCTACCGTTTTAAATCTTTTCTTGACAAGAGACTAAAATAAAAAAGCTATGTTTTTATGATTTGTGTCATTGTTTCAGATTGCACACCTAACATACCTATTACCTATTATGCTAAATAAAAATATTTTTTTATGTTTATATACATTTCTAAAAAACAAAAACAACAACAACAACAACAAAAATGTCGAAAATTTCTGAGTATTACCGCCACAAAATCAGTCTTTTTTAAAATCGCAAAAAAAACCTCACAAAAAAATCTTGAAAAACATGGGGGTCTAATATATAGTATAAAACACACATGTATAAATATACACATAAATACACAGATACACACAGTTACATAAATACACACATCATGTCAAGTCACATACAAGGTGTGTTTAAGCAAACAACCACACTAGGCAAGCCACGAAAATGAAGTGATTAAACCTTAAAGGAAAGTTATATATAGTTAAAGTCAGAATTATTAGCCCCCCTGTTTATTTTTTCCCCTAATTTCTGTTTAACAGAGGGAAGATTTTGTTTAACACATTTAGAAGCATAATAGTTTTAATAACTTATTTCTAATAACTGATTTATTGTATCTTTGTCATGATGACAGTAAATAATTTTTACTAGATATTTTTCAAGACACTTCTATACAGCTTAAAGTGACATTTAAAGGCTTCACTAGGTTAATTAAGTTAACTAGGCAGGTTAGGGTAATTAGGCAAGTTATTGTATCACGATGGTTTGTTCTGTAGACTATCAAAAAATATATAGCTTAAAGGGGCTAAAAATTTTGACCTTAAAATGCTTTTTAAAAAAAACAAAAACTGCTTTTATTCTAACCAAAATACAAGAAATAAGACTTTCTCCAGAAGAACAAAATATTATCAGACATACTGTGAAGATATCCTTGCCCTCTTAAACATCATTTGGTAAATATTTAAAAAAAAATAATAATAATAATTAAAAGGGGGGCTAATAATTTTGACTTCAACTGTAACTGTTCATTTATACACACAATCGGAGTTTCACTTTTTATGATCATCATACATTTTACTCAGGGGAGACCCAGACATCCTGTTCCTCATTAAGGACATACGCTATAGGCCCTCACTTAACATAATATGCCTAAAAAACACATTTATGTTAAAACTTGGTGACGAAGCGTTTCCTTAATTGCAAAGTTAACTTATCCATGTTGAGGAAAGTGGAATCTGTTGATGATGATTATATCAATAAAATAAGATTTTACAATTGTATGTAGAACATAAAGTATAAAAAAACTAAACAAAACAAACAAACAAAACAAAACAAAAAAAAAACAATAAATGACAAGATCACTAATAATGCAAGATTACTCTTGGGCTAGTTCAACCAAAAATGTGTAGTCGTTTCAAACTTTTGTCCGCCTCCGGAAAACAAATGAAGATATTTTAGGGGGAATCGGAGTAGACAGCAGATGCGTTCGACTTTATGCAGAGCTGCGCAGATCGATCGAAATCTGTCTTAAAGCTGCAGCATAAAGCACTGCATGCTGGTTAGAAATGTTGTCCAAACTGATGCTGCACTGACATCGGTGACTGTCACATGTGGCATCAAAGTACCGCAACAGCGCTCCGATATCAGACAACGGATTCAGCCTGTACAGCGTTTCAATGCCAAAAAATTGCGTTTATCGCATTTTGCAACCAAACTCTTCATTTGTGCTTTGTGCATGCGCAAACGTATTCTTGCAACTTGAAAATATGAATCTTAAACCACCGAATCAACTGGACAGTTTTGAGGATATATTTTGTTATTTTTCTAGATTTTGAACATTTTTGGATTGTTGCTGTCTATGTAGGATGAGGGATATCTACAATATTCTTATTGATGTTCAGAATATGAATGAACATTTTAGGGGAATTTAGATAGGAAATTAATAACAGAATTTTCTATTATTACTATCGCAATGATGTTAGTGGTGATGATGAAAATTATAAAAAAAAAAAAAAAAAAACTATAGACAAACTGAAAATCTATACTTAATATTAATAATATTCTATCAATTTTATACCACAACACTACAGTTCAGAGGTACCTACATTTGTTGATCATCCTTTTTAGATTTGATCATTTTCACAACAGCATATCGTGAACTTTCACAGAGAAATGAGACCAAAGTCAGCATGGGAACTGGAAACCACTTCCAGATTTTTTAACACTTCTAATTTCCAGACTCAGTGTAATAATGTAAACTAAAAAAAACAGTACAGGGTGTAAAACCTAATTCAGATGAACACAAGTGAAACATGTTTCACTGGTGGAGAATTACAAACAGGCCCAGCGGTATGGGAGGGTATTGCCCCCTCAGAAAGAATTTGTCCCCCCCAGTTTTCATAAAGGATTGTTTACTCAAAACTGAAAATTCTTTCTATCATTAATTACAAAGGGCTCTATTTTGACGGTCCATGCGCAGAGCGCAAAACGCAGGGCGCAAATGCTTACAGTGAATGTCAGGACGCGTTTTTGGTAATTTGAGGACGGGAAATCTGCCTTGCGCTTCGGCGCATGGTCTATAAGGGTTGAGTTTATTTTCTTAATGAGTTATAGGTGTGTTTTAAGAATAAACCAATTAGAATCTCATCTCCCATTCCCTTTAAGAGTCAGCTGCGTCGCGCCAATAGCGCATTCGCTATTTACAGGACGCAAAGTAAGTCTAAGTGGAAAAAAAAGAGCATTTCACAAGCAAACAGTTAACAGTTAACAGTTTTTAACAGAAAACTGTTAAACAGAGCATCTACTGCATGAGAATGAGAGAATGGATTACTTTCACTTTCGCTCTTGGATGGGGAAACCTTTACGCACAGACATCAATTAGTCTATAAATAAATACTTTTGTTTGTTAAGCGCAAATATTCGTTTCAAAACTATTTCTCAATTCAGTTCTTATTTCCAGCAAACGAATAAATGAATAATAATAACAAAATGTGCTCAAAAACCTGAGTTATATCCTAAAACACCTGCTGTGCCCATATTGTCTAAAACCTGACAGGTGGGCAAATCTAAGCTTGTTTTTAATAAAACAAATATAAATATGGATATATTAAATAATACTGCTAATAATAATAACATTATACAAAAGCAAATTGTTATGAATGAACTGAAAAAGCCTCCCGAGATGAAGACATAAAAGCAGTGGTTTTTCATATTTTTGTAGGCTAGAAAATAATATGTTTTGTAATATTTTAATCCTTTATATTTATATCCTATATCTATTCTTGTTATATCCTATATATATATATATATATCCTTAATATTTAAATTTTTTCATATGTAAAGATATTTGCCTATTGCTTTCTTGTGCGTATTAAAGAGTGCGTAAGCGCGGCGCAACTCTGCGCCGGAGTTTAGGCTGGGATTGGTTTTGGTCTAATGAAAAATCTATTATAGTTTCTCAAAATAGCAACGTGCCAGCGGTCCGCCTCAGAACGCCTTCCTTTTTAGACCAGAACGCCTATGGGCACAAAAATGAGCGCTAAATGCAAAAGGGCGCCAAGCTTAAACTACCAAAAGACTACTGCGTCATGCCTTGCGCCACACTGCGCCGGGTGTATGATAGGGCCCTAACACTCCAGTCATTCCAACCGTCAGAACACACATTTAAATATAATATAAAAAATAGCAATAAAATTAAGAAAATTGTGAGATTAAGTTTGGCCATCCGTATATAGCCTTTAAAGCATACATAGCAAAGGAGGCGCACTCTACTAACGTAGGAGAAAACTGGACTAGTGGATGACATGAGATGAGCAGCCTAATTCATTACATGTTTTAGTTCATTAATTCTTTAAATACAACTCTATTGAGCTCTAAAAGGAAAAAAGAAACGCAAAAAAAATTTGTCGTTACATTCATTTAAGCAAATATGCAACTGCCAGCCATTTTCACGTTCGTTTTTTAGTTAGGGGATTTGTAGCCTTAAAGTGTTTAGTTCACTGCACAATCTCAAAGTAGTCTACACTATAATTAATATTTTAATTTATTATATTTATTATTATTAATAATA